TCTGTACTTCGTTTCAGTTACGTATTGCTATTGAATAAACGCACGTCTCGCTGCGAACCGAAAGGGAATGGGTCAATATTCCCCAACCCGGACACGGAGATAGTCCCCTCGGGGACAAGTGCGGCTTAACGCAACCCGAACTCGGAGACGTCGACGGAGGACCCGGGGAAAGTTGTCTTTTTCTTTATGAGATTCGTGTCCCTGGAATCAGCTCGTCCGGAGATAGGGACGCTGTCTCCGTAAAAGCACCGCGGCTCTTGCGGTGTCGGTGCGCCTCTGTCGGCCTTGCAAATCCGAGGGGAGAGTGTGATTTTCGTGCCGGTCCGTACCCGCAGCAGGTCTCCAAGGTGAACAAGCCTCTAGTCGATAGAACAATGTAGGTAAAGAAATAGAAGCAAGTTCGATCCGTAACTTCGGGACAAGTTGGCTCTGAGGACTGGGCGGGCTGGGATCCAGCGGGTGTGGCACTATTACCGGACTGGGCAGAACTGGCTGGGGCGACTCAGTCCGGTTCGGCCCCGGACCAGCGTCAGGGCCTTCCGTGGAGAATGTCTCCAGCTGCGCCGCGGACCGTGCAATCGTGCGGACCGACGGTTTCGGCGGGCAACTAACAGCCGACTCAAGAACTGGCACGGACAAGGGTCGACGTTAAAACAAAGCATTGCGATGGCCGGTGATGATGATGACGCAATGTGATTTAGTGCTCTGAATGTCAAAGTGAAGAAATTCATCCAAGCGCGGGTAAACGGCGGGAGTAACTATGACTCTCTTAAGGTAGCCAAATGCCTCGTCATCTAATTAGTGACGCGCATGAATGGATTAACAGTTAACTGTCCTATCTACTATCTATGGAAACCACAGCCAGTTGGGCTTGGCAGAATCATGGAAGACCCTGTTGAGCGGCTCTAGTCGACTCTGTGAAGAGACATGAAGAGGTGTAGTATACGTGGGAGTCTTCATTGGCCGTCAGTGAAATACTACTACTTTCATCGTCATCTTTACTAATTCGGTGAAGCGGAGGTAGGGATTGAGTTCCCTGATTTCTGCTGGACGGAATCTCCGGTCCTCAGCCGGCGAATCCGCTCCGGGCAGCGTCAGGTTGAAGTTTGACTGGAGCGGTACATCTGTCAAAAGGTAACGCAGGTGTCCTAAGGCGAGCTCAGCGGGGACGAAACCTCGCGTGAAATTAAAGGGCAGCTGGCTTGATCTTGGTCAGTACGAATACGGACCGCGAAAGCGAGCCTATCGATCCTTTTGATTTTACGAGTTTTTTATGCAGGGGTCAGAAAAGTACCACAGGGATAACTGGCTTGTGGCGTAACGTTCATAGCGACGTCACTTTTGATCCTTCGATGTCGGCTCTTCCTATCATTGCGAAACGAGATTCGCCAAGCGTTGTTCACCACTGACAGGTAACGTGAGCTGGGTTAGACCGTCATTGAGACAGGTTAGTTTATTATTCCGGTCAGAGCTTTCGAAGAGAAACCGGACGTGTCTCTCACTCACGCTCTCCACCTTTCTGAGTAACGCGCGAGATTTAACAAAGTGTGTTGTGTTTGCGTTTCGCTCCAGCCGCAGCTATTGGATATTTCTAGACAATTCTAGTGACTATCAACTTAGAATCGCAGTGTTATAGTGTCCATCAAGTTAGTGCGAACAATTTGTGCCAATTTTGGATATTATAGTGCTTTTATTTGGATTTTTCTTATGGATTACACGCTAACCAGGATGTCCGGCTAACCTGACATAGAGGGCGCTGGGGTAAGTGCCTCCTAATCACCTTCATCTTTTAGTGTTTGTCATGCAGAGCATTTTGATATATGATTTATGTGTATAAACCTATTTGCTGATTTTTTATGAATTTTTAAAGTTGCGCGCTGTTCCCATGCTGACCTCCCGCTTTCCTTTCTACCTTTGACTTTGCCCCTTAATAACTTTTTAATTAATTGTTCTTTCTTGCTGTAAATTTAATAGTAGTAAATGTGGGCGATTCGGAGTGGATCGCAAAAAGAATTTTGGTTATCGATAAACTAGGGGTAAAGTTATAAGACTTTAAAGTTTTCCCCCCCCCGCCAAAATGGCCCTCTTTTTCATGATTTTGATAAACATGTTTTTTAAAAATTCATATTTCCTTAAATTTTGTCTTTTTTAAAATTCTGTTTTGACATCCTTGTAGGCCATGCGATTCTCTCCAATATGAGCACTGGTTCTACCATTTTGACCGATTTTTACTATTTTTTTCGATTTTTTGAAAAAAACTCCAAATGAAGCCCCTCGTCTTTTTCCCTCTGTTGTGGGTGGAAAAAGTGGGAGGATAGCGTGGGAACAGTTTTCTCTCTAATGTTATTCCTATGGGGATTTTTGCATTTTTAAATATTTAATAAATTAGTCATTGCTTTTCTAATTGTTTGGGGACCTGTGCCACATAATTAATTTTTTTTTTGCCTTTCTTCCGGTGCAAGTCCCATGTTTCTGTTTTAAGTATAAGTGTGTGTATTGTACCATTTAAGTGAATTGTGCTAAGTTTTCTTTCAATGGCTGCCAAATAGCGCCATTTTGTCTTTGTCAGTAGCGTCCCTGTGAGTCAACCCTTTTTCTCGTTTCCTCTCTTGAGAGTCTATAGACAGCACATGCTCACAGTTCCGATTGGCTTATTCAACCGTTGCCACCAGCAATAACTAAACTTTTCTTTTTTCTGCTTTTGCCACTCTAAGTCCGATTTCAATATCGATTATTCTTAGCAAGTCTGCTTGTACCACTATTTTGTAGTTTTAAGCTGCTTGGTGGTCCCATAGACTTAACATGGGAAATCTTTATAATTTTCTATTTCTCGCAATTTTGGCCAGACAGTGCTCTAATTAGGGGGTAATATACCTGCCTCATTAGTGTACACGTGTAATTTTTCTTAATTGTGTATTTGGTTTTTTTAACCCTTTTTAGCCCTTTCGGACTTAGAATTTTTTCTCCCATAGGATTAACATGGGGTAATTTTAAAACGTTAGCTAGCGCTAACTATTGCCCCGGGATCCTTCAAAATTGGTAGGTAGAGTCCCCAGTACTGGCTTTATAAAAGCTAACTATTTTTAGTTTAGTACTGGTTTCCCTTCCCCCTTTTTTCCCCCTCTCTTGTTCAGTTCAGCCCTTTGCAGTCAGATAGTTGCAGGGCAATTTCTCAGTAACTATCACACTTAGGTGCCCCATTTTTTGACTTCAGGTAGTGCATAGGGTTGGGGGGGGGGGGGGGGGGGGGGGGGGGGGGGGGGGGGGG